AAAGATAACTTGGATCTTTAACTCAAGGCGATTAGACCTTAAATCAAAGAGCACCAAGCTCTGATACCAATTGTTAGACCCTAAGATCGCTAGGAAAGAACCCTAGAGGGGAGGTGAATAGGGTTTATGCTAATCTAATCCGATTTAAATGCCAATAAAAACTAACTAATAAATTATTCTTGTAAGATACATATACAATGTGATAAGAGCAAGAATAAGCAATATAACTAAGGTGATATATCCTAGCAAAGAGATATACTATATGGTATATGCAAGGATATATTTAAACTATCACAAGGGAAAACAAACTAGTGGACAATATAAATAAGATGCAATAGGCTATAAGATGAACAGTTATAAGTGCACCAATGCAAACAAAACACGCTATATGTTCGCGAGGTTCGGACCATCCGTCCTACATCCCCGCTCCCCACTCTCGAGGAGAATCCACTACACAACCCAGTTTGGAAGCCGAAACATCTCTACACACTCGGTTTTCTAGCTAACCGAAAACTCTACACACTCGGTTATCAATACAACTGACAACTCTCACAAATCGTCACAATGTACATACACAAGCTACAACCTCAAGTGTTGGTCCTCACTTATCGCCTCCCTCAAGTACTCTGAATATTCACCTCTCACTAGGCCACAGACGCCACTCCTCTCGGTATCGACTACGTCCTCATCACACACTCCTCTCGGTGTACAAGTGTATTACAAAGTAATCTACACAATTAAGGCTCACAACAAATGATTGTTCTCTAAACAAGGTGAGAACTCAATTAGGCTCAACTCAAAGTCACAAACCCCACAACCCAAATTATACTATGAATGTAAATACTATAAGTTCAAGTGGGTGTGTGTAATAATAAGATAAATAAAATTAACTAAACTTAATATAAACACTAGCTTAATAAAATGATAATCAAACACTAAAATGTAAAGCTATATTGAGTTTAGAAAACTTCTCTAATAAATGACAAGAGTGAGAGAGAGATGATTTGAAGCTCAAACATCAAAGATTATCTCCTCAAGCCCTTGTGAAATTATTTTCACAAAGGAAACTCTTAAACAAGACTTAAACACCTTTAAACAAACTTAAACAAGCTTTAAACCCTTGTTAAACTTTCTTAAAACATTCTCTTAGTTGTGTGAAGAGCTGAAGGCAATGGGGTATTTATACCCACTCAAAACTTTAGCAAAAACCCCAAGGAAAAGACCAAAAACTGATAAACAAAGAAATCAGAAAACTAGCCGTTACTGTGCAACGGCTCTCTGATAAGTCGACTTATGAGTCGACTCATGAGTCGCCTTATGAGTCGACTAATGAGTCGCCTTATATGAGTCAACTTAGCAGAAGAAAAATCACAACTGCGCTACACTTCGTGAGTCAACTTATGAGTCGACTCATGAGTCCACTAATGAGTCGACTAGACATGCACAGACCTGAAGTGTACAAAAAAAAACTCAACTTTAAACTGGGTTTAAAAATATCAAATAAATTCAGAAAAATGTAAGACTTTGAAAAATGATATTTGACATGATAATACATATGCTACAAAAACTGGTTTTTTAGAAGGACTTCCCAAATGTAAACTATCAACATTTTGCAAAATAGTTCAAAACATGAAAATGTGAACACATGAGTTTTGACATTTTAGCTTAACCATGTTTTGAAACATTACAGAATGATTTTGTAGACTTAATAAAAGATGTATATGATTATTGTTAAGTATATAAACCAAGAAAACAATATTTTCACAAAAATACTTGTTTTACAAACTTTCAAAACAATAAACATGATTTCATTGAACTAAATAAAAATGATATTGATGAAATCATATGTAAGCATATAAACATGAAACAAAAAAGTATCAATTGTTTCATTTTTAAACTTTAATATTTAAACTTGAAAAACCAAAACAATAAATATGAAAGATGGAATCCTCCAAAGCTTGTCGGATTGCCTCCAAATTCCCTTGATGTGCTTCTATAAGTTTCCATAATGTGTAAGCACTATCAAAAGAATCAAGCTTGTTAGACATAGATGAATCGAACGCATTATGTAAAAATTCTAACAAAAGCTTATTCATGGTAAAGATATGATGATCATTTTTATTCCACTTGGATTTCTCCGAAGTAGGCACAATATAAGCATCATCTATAATTTTCCATAAATCGAAGTGTCTAGATTGAACAAAAAGTTTAAATCTAACACACCATTAGGCGTAGGGGAAATTATCTAATCTAAGAGCAATATTGATGGCATAACCTAAACAAGGTGTACCGTGCATATCCATAATGTATATATGAGCAAGCAAGATACAAATAAAATCCAAAACAAGATTAGCACAAAAAGATAACTTGGATCTTTAACTCAAGGTGATTAGACCTTAAATCAAAGAGCACCAAACTCTGATACCAATTGTTAGACCATAAGGTCGCTAGGAAAGAACCTTAGAGGGGGTGGGGGATGAATAGGGTTTATACTAATCTAATCCGATTTAAATGCCAATAAAAACTAACTAATAAATTATTCTTGTAAGATACATATACAATGTGATAAGAGCAAGCATAAGCAATATAACTAAGGTGATATATCCTAGCAAAGAGATATACTATATGGTATATGCAAGGATATATTTAAACTATCACAAGGGTGAAACAAACTAGTGGATAATGTAAACAAAATACAATAGGCTATAAGATGAACAGTTATAAGTGCACCAATGCAAACAAAACACGCTATATGTTCGCGAGGTTCGGACCTTCCGTCCTACGTCCCCGCTCCCCACTCTTAAGGAGAATCCACTACACAACCCAGTTTGGAAGCCGAAACTTCTCTACACACTCGGTTTTCTAGCTAACCAAAAACTCTACACACTCGGTTATCAATACAATTGACAACTCTCACAAATCGTCACAATGTACATACACAAGCTACAACCTCAAGTGTTGGTCCTCACGTATCGCCTCCCTCAAGTGCTCTAAATTATCACCTTTCACTAGGCCACCGACGCCACTCCTCTCGGTATCGACTACGTCCTCATCACACACTCCTCTCGGTGTACAAGTGTATAACAAAGTAATCTACACAATTAAGGCTCACAACAAATGATTGTTCTCTAAACAAGGTGAGAACTCAATTAGGCTCAACTCAAAGTCACAAACCCCACAACCCAAATTATACTATGAATGTAAATACTATAAGTTCAAGTGGGTGTGTTTAACAATAAGATAAATAAAATTAACTAAACTTAATATAAACACTAGCTTAATAAAATGATAATCAAACACTAAAATGTAAAGCTAGATTGAGTTTAGAAAACTTCTCTAATAAATGACAGAGTGAGAGAGAGATGATTTGAAGCTCAAACACCAAATATTATCTCCTCAAGCCCTTGTGAAATTATCTTCACAAACGAAACTCTTAAACAAGACTTAAACACCTTTAAACAAACTTAAACCCTTGTTAAACTTGATTAAAACATTTTCTTAGCTTAATAAAGAGCTGAACGCAATGGGGTATTTATACCCACTCAAAACTTTAGCAAAAACCCCATGGAAAAGACCAAAAACCCATAAACAAAGAAATCAGAAAACTAGCCGTTACTGTGCAACGGCTCTCTGATAAGTCGACTTATGAGTCGACTCATGAGTCGCCTTATGAGTCGACTAATGAGTCGCCTTATATGAGTCAACTTAGCAGAAGAAAAATCATGACTGCGCTGCACTTCGTGTGTCAACTTATGAGTCAACTCATGAGTCGACTAATGAGTCGACTAGACATGCACAGACCTGAAGTGTACAGAAAAACTCAACTTTAAACTGGGTTTAAAAATATCAAATAAATTCAAAAAAATGTAAGACTTTGAAAAATGATTTTAGACATGATAATACATATGCTACAAAAACTGGTTTTTTAAAAGGACTTCCCAAATGTAAACTATCATCATTTTGTAAAATAGTCCAAAACATGAAAATGTGAACACATGAGTTTTGACATTTTAGCTTAACCATGTTTTGAAACATTACAAAATGATTTTGTAGACTTAATAAAAGATGTATATGATTATTGTTAAGTCTATAAACCAAGAAAACAATATTTCATCAGCTGGACATCAGCAAAGACCTGTTGCACCACTTCAACCACATCCAGTTGTTACTAGCACACCTGGAATTTCAGCATCACCTTTGCTAGCAGATTGCACCAGTCAAGACAGGAACCAGGCTAATGTACCAGCAACATCTGAAACAAGTACAACAGAACAGCCTATGGATCGCCTAATTAAAGTGGTTAGTGAATTTTTTTAGTTTACTTCATTTTTTAATTCCTAGGTATTTTATCAGGAGCCTGTGGTAGTCATGTTGAGTTTCTGATTGTTTAAAATTCAATGAGCAGTTTGTTTCCAAATGTGCTCACTCATTTTCTTTGTAATGCCACTGCATTAACATGATACATAATGGTGATATTGAAACGACATTAGTTTATAGCCAGTTTGGTTACCTCTATGGCTCTATGTTAGAAGCTTCGGCTTTAGCCAATTAGGCTTCTCTTTTCACTTATTAGTGTATTGATGCAGGACGATCCATGCGATGTGATTATGATTTATTATAATCTTTCCTTTATTGGTAGGATTTTATTTTATTCTATGTAATCTTCTTTTTAGTTAGGATTTCTTTAGGAGTTGATTTTGAGATCTCTTTCTACTTTGGTTAGGATTTTATTTGATTGCATCTTTTAATTTTGTTAGGTTTTGATTTGATTAGGATTTTGGTTAGGATTTTATGTGATTGCATCTTTTAATTTTGTTAGGTTTTGATGTGATTAGGATTTTGATTTGCTTGCCGAAACCAATTGTTAGACCCTAAGGTCGCTAGGAAAGAACCCTAGAGGGGGGTGAATAGGGTTTATGCTAATCTAATCCGATTTAAATGCCAATAAAAACTAACTAATAAATTATTCTTGTAAGATACATATACAATGTGATAAGAGCAAGAATAAGCAATATAACTAAGGTGATATATCCTAGCAAAGAGATATACTATATGGTATATGCAAGGATATATTTAAACTATCACAAGGGTGAAACAAACTAGTGGATAATATAAACAAGATGTAATAGGCTATAAGATGAACAGTTATAAGTGCGCCAATGCAAACCAAACACGCTATATGTTCGCGAGGTTCAGACCTTCCGTCCTACGTCCCCGCTCCCCACTCTCGAGGAGAATCCACTACACAACCCGGTTTGGAAGCCGAAACTTCTCTACACACTCGGTTTTCTAGCTAACCGAAAACTCTACACACTCGGTTATCAATACAACTGACAACTCTCACAAATCGTGACAATGTACATACACAAGCTACAACATCAAGTGTTGGTCCTCACGTATCCCCTCCCTCAAGTGCTCTGAATTATCACCTCTCACTAGGCCACCGACGCCACTCCTCTCGGTATCGACTACGTCCTCATCACACACTCCTCTCGGTGTACAAGTGTATTACAAAGTAATCTACACAATTAAGGCTCACAACAAATGATTGTTCTCTAAACAAGGTGAGAACTCAATTAGGCTCAACTCAAAGTCACAAACCCCACAACCCAAATTATATTATGAATGTAAATACTATAAGTTCAAGTGGGTGTGTGTAACAATAAGATAAATAAAATTAACTAAACTTTATATAAACACTAGCTTAATAAAATGATAATCAAACACTAAAATGTAAAGCTAGATTGAGTTTAGAAAACTTCTCTAATAAATGACAAGAGTGAGAGAGAGATGATTTGAAGCTCAAACACCAAAGATTATCTCCTCAAGCCCTTATGAAATTATCTTCACAAACGAAACTCTTAAACAAGACTTGAAAACACCTTTAAACAAACTTAAACAAGCTTTAAACCCTTGTTAAACTTTCTTAAAACATTCTCTTAGTTGTGTGAAGAGCGGAAGGCAATGGGGTATTTATACCCACTCAAAACTTTAGCAAAAACCCTAAGGAAAAGACCAAAAACCCATAAACAAAGAAATCAGAAAACTAGCCGTTACTGTGCAACGGCTCTCTGATAAGTCGACTTATGAGTCGACTCATGAGTCGACTTATGAGTCGACTAACGAGTCACCTTATATGAGTCAATTTAGTAGAAGAAAAATCACAATTGCGCTGCACTTCGTGAGTCAACTTATGAGTCGACTCATGAGTCGACTAATGAGTCGACTAGACATGCACAGACCTGAAGTGTACAGAAAAACTCAACTTTAAACTGGGTTTAAAAATATCAAATAAATTCAGAAAAATGTAAGACTTTGAAAAATGATTTTAGACATGATAATACATATGCTACAAAAACTGGTTTTTTAAAAGGACTTCCCAAATGTAAACTATCATCATTTTACAAGATAGTCCAAAACATGACAATGTGAACACATGAGTTTTGACATTTTAGCTTAACCATGTTTTGAAACATTACAGAATGATTTTGTAGACTTAATAAAAGATGTATATGATTATTGTTAAGTCTATAAACCAAGAAAACAATATTTTCACAAAAATACTTGTTTTGCAAACTTTTAAAACAATAAACATGATTTCATTGAACTAAATAAAAATGATATTGATGAAATCATATGTAAGCATATAAACATGAAACAAAAATGTATTTTCCAATTATATTCAATTGTTTCATATTTAAACTTGAAAAACCAAAACAAAAAATTTGTAAGATATAATTTCATATTTATATAAACTTGGAAACAAAAACATGTATGTATACATATACCTATATATACCAAAACTAAATTGTGTATATATAACTATGTATATATATATATATATAAACAAATCTTGTCGGATCGCCTCCAAATTCCGTTGATGTGCTTCTATAAGTTTCCATAATGTGTAAGCACTATCAAAAGAATCAAGCTTGTTAGACATAGATGAATCGAACGCATTATGTAAAAATTCTAACAAAAGATTATTCATGGTAAAGATACGATGATCATTTTTATTCCACTTGGATTTCTCCGAAGTGGGCACAATATAAGCATCATCTATAATTTTCCATAAATTGAAGTGTCTAGATCGAACAAAAAGTTTAAATCTAATACACCATTGGGCATAGGGGAAATTATCTAATCTAGGAGCAATATTGATGGCATAATCTAAACAAGGTGTACCGTGCATATCCATAATGTATATATGAGCAAGCAAGATACAAATAAAATCAAAATAAGATTAGCACAAAAAGAAAACTTGGATCTTTAACTCAAGGTGATTAGACCTTAAATCAAAGAGCACCAAGCTCTGATACCAATTGTTAGACCCTAATGTCACTAGGAAAGAACCCTAGAGGGAGGGGAGGGGTGAATAGGGTTTATGCTAATCTAATCCGATTTAAATGCTAATAAAAACTAACTAATAAATTATTCTTGAAAGATACATATACAATGTGATAAGAGCAAGCATAAGCAATATAACTAAGGTGATATATCCTAGAAAAGAGATATACTATATGGTATATGCAAGGATATATTTAAACTATCACAAGGGTGAAACAAACTAGTGGACAATGTAAACAAAATACAATAGGCTATAAGATGAACAGTTATAAGTGCGCCAATGCAAACCAAACACGCTATATGTTCGCGAGGTTCGGACCATCCGTCCTACATCCCCGCTCCCCACTCTCGAGGAGAATCCACTACACAACCCGGTTTGGAAGACGAAACTTCTCTACACACTCGGTTTTCTAGCTAACCAAAAACTCTACACACTCGGTTATCAATACAACTGACAACTCTCACAAATCGTCACAATGTACATACACAAGCTACAACCTCAAGTGTTAGTCCTCACGTATCGCATCCCTCAAGTGCTCGGAATTATCACCTCTCACTAGGCCACCGACGCCACTCCTCTCGGTATCGACTACGTCCTCACCACACACTCCTCTTGGTGTACAAGTGTATTACAAAGTAATCTAAACAATTAAGGCTCACAACAAATGATTGTTCTCTAAACAAGGTGAGAACTCAATTAGGCTCAACTCAAAGTCACAAACCCCACAACCCAAAATATACTATGAATGTAAATACTATAAGCTCAAGTGGGTGTGTGTAACAATGAGATTAATCAAATCTAAACTCAATATAAAACTAGCTTTAATAAGATGATAATCAAACAAATAAATATAAAGCTAGAAAAGAGTTTAGAAAACTTCTCAATAGATGACAAGAGATGGAGGGAGAATAGTTGATTGCTCAAACTCCAATAGATGATCTCCTCAAGCTCTTGTAGAATTGAATTCACAAACTCAAACTAAACAAACTTAAACAAGCTTTAAACCCTTGTTAAACTTTCTTAAAACATTCTCTTAGTTGTGTGAAGAGCTGAAGGCAATGGGGTATTTATACCCACTCAAAACTTTGGCAAAAATCCCAAGGAAAAGACCAAAAACCCATAAACAAACAAATCAGAAAACTAGCCGTTACTGTGCAACGGCTGTCTGATAAGTCGACTTATGAGTTGACTCATGAGTCGACTTATGAGTCGACTAATGAGTCGCCTTATATGAGTCGACTCAGCAGAAGAAAAATCATAACTGTGCTGCACTTCGTGAGTCGCCTTATATGAGTCGACTCAATAGAAGAAAAATCACAACTGCGCTGCACTTCGTGAGTCGATTTATGAGTCGACTCATGAGTCGACTAATGAGTCGACTAGACATGCACAGACCTGAAGTGCACAGAAAAACTCAACTTTAAACTGGGTTTAAAAATATCAAATAAATTCAGAAAAATATAAAACTTTGAGAAATGATTTTAGACATGATAATACATATGCTACAAAAACTGGTTTTTCAAAAGGACTTTCCAAATGTAAAATATCATTATTTTGTAAAATAGTCCAAAACATAAAAATGTGAACACATGAGTTTTGATATTTTAGCTTAACCATATTTTGAAACATTACAGAATAATTTTATAGACTTAATAAAAGATGTATATGATTATTGTTAAGTCTATAAACCAAGAAAACAATATTTTCACAAAAATACTTGTTTTGTAAACTTTCAAAACAATAAACATGATTTCATTGAACTAAATAAAATTGATATTGATGAAATCATATTATATATATATATATATATAAACAAAGCTTGTGTTGTATATATATATAACTATATATATACAAGGAAACCAATATAATGTGTGTGTATATATGATTGAGCTTAAAGTACCAACACACATAATATAAACCTAAACTAATATTACTCAAGCTTGATCTTGAT